GGAAGGAAGGAAGGAAGGAAGGAAGGAAGGAAGGAAGGAAGGAAGGAAGGAAGGAAGGAAGGAAGGAAGGAAGGAAGGAAGGAAGGAAGGAAGGGCAAACAATGAATGGATGGATGAACAGATGGATGGATGTTTGATAACTGACCATGACCTTTGACCCCTGTAAGTCTAAGCCATCACGTTTAATGAACTTGTTCCAAACGCTCACCTTAAAAGAATTCAGTCCAAGAACCACCGTGAAGCGATGCAGCCAAGGAGCTTTCCACCTCATTCCTTTCAGCTTGGATTAACAACGAGCTAAATGTGTTATTTTACACAGGATTAGGAGCAATAACACCCCCCACATGTTAACCCCCCACCTCTGTCCACTCAGACTGACTCAGATCTGCTTTAATGTGTATGTCCGCCCACATACGTGCCCTGAAGTACAGACAGTCGTGGTGTGACGAGGATTATCTCAGAGTTTAACAGCATGTTGCTGTAAAACCATCTGACTCTTCAGGAACAAGATTGTTGGTGAAAAAAATCCTACATTTTGTCTCTCAAACTGTTATTTGTGGTATTTTTGAGCTGTTTAGTGAAAATTACAATTTAAAAGCTAAAAACATTAAAAACCATAAGCTGAAGAGAAGCAGGTTTAATAGCTTAAAGATGAGATACTAATCTGTAAGAGGCATTTCTGTCCTAATGCCGATCAGAAGGTTAGTGCCCCTAGAATGGGTTCTAATGGGTCAGGTCCGAGTTAGTTTTAGTTCCATATCCCATGTCATTGCCTGTCTTTCTGTATTTCTCTGAAATATCGGTTTTGATGTGTTGGTCTCATTAACAAAAAGGTATGACTTCAGGAGAAGAACCCGCTGGCTTCACAGCAGATGTGTGAGCAGAACATAGAGCCCAAACTTGTTCTTCTAAACAGAACCACCAAGGTTCCTTTGATAGCTCCAAAGTCAGACAAGAGGTGCTGGGTTCTGAGCTCACAAACGCAGAGCGAGCCCTCTGAACTATCTTTAGATTTAGCTCGGGCCTTGAAAATCCAACATCTAACATCTTCACATCAAAGCCAGAACATCATCAGTTGGCGGTTCTGAAAGATTCACGGCTCAGAAAGTTAAAAGCGCAAACAAATGGAGGTTAGTGGAACTGTTGGCTGGGAAAAAAAATGTTTCATATATGTGGTTCTCTTGATGACAACAGAACCACAAAAGAGAGGAGTTTTGAATCCATGAAGATGAGAGACAGAGGAGGGAGAGACCAACAGGTTCTGGGATTACAAGATCCATGGGTCCCATGGGCTATGCATGTCCTGAAATTACACAACCCACGGACCATTGTTCAAGAGGTTCTGGAATTACAAGACCCTTGTTCTTCTTCTCCTTCTTTCAGCTTTTCCTTCTTCGGGGTGACCACAGTAAGTCATTCTCCTCCATCTCACTCTGTCCTCTGTATCCTCTGTCCTACCTCCATATCCTCTAACTGCATCCATACGTCTTCTCTTTGGCCTTCCGCTTTGTCTTTTTCCTGGCAGCTGAATTTCTAACATCCTTCTACCAATATACCTACTGTCCCTCCTCTGGACATGTCCAAACCATCTCAGTCTGACCTCTCTAACTTCATCTCTCAGTTGTTCAAACTGCGCTGTACCTCTGATGATCTCATTCCTAATCTTATCCATCCTTGTCACTCCTAAGGAGAACCTCATCATCTTCATTTCTGCCACTTCAAGTTCTGCCTCCTGTCTTTTTGTCAGTGCCACTGCTTTAAGACCATTCAACAAAGCTGGTCTCACCACTGTCTTGTAAACTTTTCCGTTGACCTTTGCTGACACCCTTTTGTTGCAAATCACTCCTGAAACATTTAAGGGATTACAAGATCCATAAAGCAACATTCAACTGGTTCTATATTACAAGACACATAGGGTGTAGTTCAAGAGGTTCTGGGATTACAAGTCCCTCGAACCATCATTCAACAGATGCTGGGTGTGCAAAACTTGTGGACTGCCAATCAACAGGTTCTGCGATTACAATATCCATGGTCCACCAATGAACAGGTTCTGAGATTACAAGATCTATTGTCCACCAATCAACATGTTATGAGATTACAAGAGCCATGGTCCACCAATCAACAGGTTCTGAGATTACAAGACCTATGATCCACCATTCAATGGGTTCTGAGATTACAAGACACTTGGACCACTATTTAACAGGTTCTGAGATTACAAGATTTATGGACTGCCATTCATTAAGTTCTAAGATTATTAGACCCATGGACCATCATGGGTCACCGCCCATCACCACTGGGCGGCTGTGGATGAGTGGTTAGAGCAGTCGTCCTCCAATACAAGAGTTGGGGGTTCGAATCCACCAGCAGTCACATGCCGAAGTGTCCCTGGGCAAGACACTGAACCCCTCATTGCTGCCGATGTGTGTCCCATCGGTGTATGAATGTGATAAAACTCTGATTAGTCTCTTTAGAATGATTTGTTCCATTAGCTTTGTAGAGATCTAGTAGTGCTGTATGAATGGGTAAATGAGGCACAGATTGTGTTGTAAAGCGCTTTGAGTGTCTTGATAAGATATAAAGGTGCTATATGAGTACAGTCCATTTACCATTTAAAATCATTCAAAAGGTTTTGAGATTACAAGACCCATGGACCACAATATAACCAGTTTGAGGGGGGGGGGGGGTGCAAAATCTATGGACTGCTATTCAAGACGTTCAAGGGATTACAAGAACCATGGACCATTTTTCAATAGGTTCTGGGATTGCAAGAGCCATGGGCTGCAGTTCAAGAGGTTCTGAGTCTATGAAACACATGTGCCAGAGCTTAATAGGTTTTGGGATTGAGAGACCTTTGGGAGCTTCATGGACATTGACATGTGCTGACTTTTAGTTGGTTGTAATCCTGTCTATAAAAAAGGGGGTGACAAACTGAAACTCAGGTCATGAGTGAAGTTAATATTAATCCTTTTGATTTGTATTGTTATTTGGACCAGGCAGAGTTAGTCTGTATTTCAGACAACCATTTGCTTTCTGTCCTTTAAATGCTGTTGCTGGATTCAGAGACAGACGTCTTAACATGATATAGAACAAGAAGAGCACCTTCTAAACCAACAGCATTTCAAAAGAAGCTACTGGAGGTCTGAAGGCACACCCACCTCCAAAAGCTGGCCTCATGGTGAAGTCATGATCATCTACTTTGAGAAGATGTTCTGTCTTGGTTTTGCGAGATTTGGTCACATCTGGAGGTTTCAGAGAGCTAGAAAAAGACAAGATTCAGAGTCAGAGTACTGACCAAAGAACAGAGCTCAGTAAAACATCTGCAAGAACAAAAACACTGGATTACACTGTTCCTAGATTTAGGAACCAGAAAAACAAAAACACAAAAGGCTTTCTCTGGATGGATTGATCTGGTGAAACAGTCCAGTTTTTGTCTCAGGTGCAGAGCAGGAAGTCAGATCTGCAGAGCAGGAAGTCAGAGCTGAAGAACATAAAGTCAGAGCTGCAGAACGGAAAGTTAGAGCTGCAGAGCAGGAAGTCAGAGCTTCAGAGCAGGAAGTCAGAGCTGCAGAACAGAAAGTCCAAGCTGCGGAACGGAAATCAGAGCTGCGGAACAGGAAGTCAGAGCTGTAGAACGGGGAGTCAGAGCTGCAGAGCATGAAGTCAGAGCTGCAGAGCATGAAGTCAGAGCTGAAAAACAGGAAGTCAGAGCTGCAGAGCAAGAAGTCAGAGCTGCGGAACGAGGAGTCAGAGCTGCAGAGCATGAAGTCAGAGCTGAAAAACAAGAAGTCAGAGCTGCAGAGCAGGAAGTCAGAGCTTCAGAGCAGGAAGTCAGAGGTGTGAAACAGAAAGTCAGAGCTGAAAAACAGGAAGTCAGAGCTTCAGAGCAGGAAGTCAGAGCTGCGGAACGGGGAGTCAGAGCTGAAAAATAGGAAGTCAGAGCTGCGGAACGGGGAGTCAGAGCTGAAAAATAGGAAGTCGGAGCTGCTGAACAGGAAGTGAGGGCCTATTCTGTGTGAGTTCACCTGTGAAATAGACAGCTTAATGGCTTGTACACCTTTCAGTGAATCAGTGAGGAGTTATTTTACATGCAGTTCATCGTTTGTGCTCAGTGTAACAACACATTTGTCATTAAATTTTTTGTTTATTTTTTCTTGTAAAAAAATTTTTTTACAGCATCACACGGTTTTATCATGAAAATTAAATTGACTCTGTTCACACAGCAGGGTATCTAACACCAGCAGTTAACTGTAAATTATCAGCATAAAACCAGATTCTCTGCTGCGCTCTGTAAAAACAGAAAATGAACAAAAGAATCCTTTAAAACACCAAACAGAATAAAAACAGAATTGCCGCTGATGGTTACGGTCAGTCTAGATAAAATACTAACACCGGTGTTGATTTTATCAGAATTAAAGCGTTAAATATGCTGACTGACGTTACGTTTTTTATTCAACTGAGAGATGCTAATGAACTTTCTTACATCAGAAACAACCAGCAATTCTGTTGGAGACCCAAACTGTAATCTAAACATGAAATTCTGAAACATTAAACAGTAAAATGCAGATTTTTTAAATAAAAGAATCGTACTTTATATCATTAAAAATGAAATAAAATAGCATTTTCAATTAAAAAGGCAGCGTGGATGTAGAGTGCTGAATGGCTGCTGGAACTTGTTGAAAAATATTGACATTATAATAAACAGAACAAAAGCTAAAATTAACAGCAAAAAAGCTAAAACAAGCAGAACCGTAATCAAAAGAAATTATCAAAACGGAAGCTAAAAGGTAAATTAGCAGAACAGCAACTGAAAAACAGCAATAGCTATACAGTTGTTTAAAAAATTTAAATTCGTAAAACAGGAGCTAAAATATAAGACCAGCAAAATTGCTATAAGTTTATTTAGCTGAGCAATAATTAAACTAAAAATTAACAAATTAGTAGCTAAAAATGAAAAATCAACAAAACACCTTTTAGAATGCTAAATTAGCAAAATAGTGGCTGAAAGCTAAATGCCACTGGACAGTAACTAAAAGGTAAGACCCGAAGAATAGTAACTAAAAGCTAGGAAAAACAGTGGCTGAAAGTTAATGCCAGAAAAATAGTAAATGAAAGCTAAAAGCAGTGGAACAGCAGCTAAAAAACAAAAATAACAAAACAGTAGAAGGCAAAATAGAAGAAAAAAATAATAATAAAGTAGCTAAAAGCAATTAGCAAAACAGTAGTTACAAGCATCCTGATGCATGCTCAATAATCCAGGTAGAAAAATCTAAAAAAGTTAAATCTGGTCTTCTGGACATTCAAAAAAAAGTAGTTACAAGCCTAATTTTGCAAAACAGTAGCTAAAAACTTCAACCAGAAAAGCAGTAGCCGAAAGCTAAAAGGAAAACAGAGGCTTAAAGCAGAAAAGCTGTAGATAAAAGCTAAAACCAGTAGAACAGCAGCTAAAATTAGCAAAAACAGTTGCTAAAATCTATAGTAGATAGAAGCCAAATTTTGCAAAAACAATAGCTAAAGTCTTCAACCAGAAAAGCAGTAGCTGAAAGCTAAAATTGAAGCTAGTATGATGGAGCAAATTTCAAAGAGCACAGTCTTTTTTTTAGGAATTTGAAAAGGTCTTTATGCATTTCTATGGGATATAAAATTTAAATTCTAAAAGTATAAAGTGTACAAAAACCATAATAGCTGTGATGTCTTGAATGAGCCGAACGTTTTGAGACTCAAATAGCTGAAATAACCGCAAGTAAAAAAAAGTACAGAAGAAACAATAAAACGATAACCGGATAAAGATTTTTTTATTGAAACTTCAGGAAGTGACATGAACCCAGAGCCGGACAATTTAAATCAAGGAGTCGGAGCGTGGCAGCTCTGCAGCTGAATGTTGGTCTGCTGAAATCGTACAGCAGCGAGCAACTAAAACATCCACTTTGTTGCATCAGATTAAGAGCGTAACATATAAAATATTCAGGGTCTGGGATTTTAAAAATCAAAAATGCACAAAGTGAAAACATTTTCTCTGGCAGCAAATAAACTCCTTTCTTGCATTTAGATAAAACCCTGCAGAGTAAAGAGAATAACAAATGAAGAGTGTCTCTGGGAGATTTGCATCATGTGTTCATCGGGTTTAGTTTGCTTGACGGTGGGATGAGGGGGTGAACGGGTCGGCAGCTGGTAATCCAGGAAAGTGAGATTCTGATGCACTTCTCACCGGGTCCGATTCAACGTTTTAGCTGAGTAGAACCAGTGAAACAGCATTAAACCCTAAAGCAAAGTGGTTACTTTCAAAGGTCAAACTGGTTCTGTGAAGTTCTGACCATCCACAGAATTTGTTCTGCATCCCAGAACTAAACTTGAGGCTGAGGTTCTGGTTCAGACTGAGGTTCTGGTTGAAGGTTTTCCTCTGAAAATCCTTTGTGTAAAGAAAATGCCCACAGACCTTCAGGAGGTCGACCTCAGAGAAGTGCTTCACACCGAACCTGTGAACAGAACCGGGCCCGCGCATCAGAAAGTCAGGTTCTGTTGAGCAAAGGTCCAATCAGAGGCTTACAGTCTGACCCTGTTCAGACGGTTCTGGAAGATCCAGGTCCGAGTAACTTGTTTTAAAATGAAAGCAGTTTCTTTTAGAAGTTTTTGTGATGCTGTAGGTTCTGGCCCGTTTGACACTTCTTTAAATCATCTAAACAGATGAGTTCAACCTCTTTGAAGCCTTTCAGAACCTCATATCAGGAGTTCTGGACTGTTTGGGTCACAGAACTCTGCAGGAAGTTCAATAAAATCCTCCTAGAGCATCATTTCCTGCTTTGAGCTTTTCTTAATGACTCTTTGAGCAGAGGTTCTCTAAGCTGCCAGAATGGGTCGGGATTCATTTCCGTCCAGAGTCCAAAGGTTCTGAGGGTTCTGATCCCTCACGTTCTCAGAATCAGTCAGACCCAATTAATCCAGCGGTTCTGATGAGTTCTGAGGAGGACGAGCTGCTTTCTGTGGCAGTTTTAATAAAAATAAAACTGATTTCCAACAGAAACATCACAGGAGCCGCTCAGGTGAATCGGGTCAGAACCTTGATCCAGTTTGACCCAAACCTGCAGCTGATTTTGCAGAGTCTAGTTCTGATCCGATCGAACTTGATCCAACCCAAACTGCCAGATCACTCTGCAGAACCTAAATCTGAACTGGTCCAACTCAAACGTCCAGTTCTGACCCAACCCAAACCTCCAGCTGATTCTGCAGAACCCAAATCTGACCGGGTCCAACCCAAACCTCTAGCTGACTTCTGAAAGTCTGCTGACCAGCACTAGGTTCTGAGCCCAGTTCTGACCCAATCCAACTCAAACTTCTGGGTCACCGCAGAGCCAAGTTCTGGTCTGCTAAATCCAGAACCAATCCATTGATCTTCCATTTGGCTGCAGAACCCAGCTGACCCGGTCCAAACCGAACTTCCAGTTGAGTACAGATCCCGGGTGTAATCTGGTCCAATCCGAGCATCCTTCCAATTTCTGATGACCAGAACTGAATTATCAGCATGAGGACTCGGTTGGACCGGATCAGAACTGAGTCCTGCAGAGTGAGCTGACGGTTCGGATCCTGCCGATCCGTTTTTATGTTCAGAAACTAAATCAGATCAAATACTTCCTTCTGTTCCGTTTTCTAACCCGTTGGATCAGGTCCACATCAGAACCTCGGCTCTGCTCCCCTCGGTTTACTTACGTTCCGTGTTTCTGGCTCTCCACGGTTCCGGTCCATCTGCGGACCCGGTGTCGGTGTTTCCGGGCCTCCCCGGTGAGGAGCAGACACAGCAGCAGCAGGAGAGCTCGGCTCAGGTAAGGCATCCTGACGGTTCGGGTCCACAGGTGAGTCCCGTCAGCCGGATCATCCTCCACACCGTCTCGGTACCGGACCCTCAGCAGCTGTGGGCTCACACATGAGCGCGCGCGCAGCCCCCCCACTGCGGGATTACAGCTGTCAGATTTGTCCTCGCCATCATCACCATCATAATCATCATCATCAGGGGGCGGGGCGTAAACAGTTCAGCTTCTACAGGGGCGGAGTCAGACTTTCTGAGGGCGGGGGCCCCCAACACCAAACACCTTACAAGATGTTTTTATAAAAAATAAAAACCTACAGGCAGGTGCATATACTGTTACAGGATGTTTCATCCATCCAGCATCATCCACTTGTTCTGGAGTACTCTGGGGTAGCAGCTTGATCAGAGAGGTCCAGGACATCTCTTTTCCCAGCCGTGTCTTCCAGCTCATCTGAGAGGAATCCAATGTGTTACCAGACCAGCAGAGAAACATCTCTCCAGTTTACAAACCCAAACAGGCCCGTGGACTGGTTGAACATCTTCTCTTCACTTCCTGGTCCCAATTGACCTTCCGTTGCAACCTATCACCTGTTTTCAGTTACCTCATGCCCTTCTTAAGGTCAGCTGTGCATCCTCCAACACCGTACCATGTTCCATCACCTTGTTCCTCATCGTGGTGCGAAGCCAGCAGGACCGTTTACTTCGTTTTATTCAGTTCAGTTCAATTCAGAAATACTTTATTAATCCCAGAGGTAAATTAAATGTTGTAACTTATCATCCTGGTTTTGTTAAAGAGTTGTTATAGATGCTGATGACTGTGGGCAGGAAGGATCTCTTGTTACAGCAGATCTGAAGAAGCCTGTGACTGAAGACACTCTGTTGTTGTATGACAGTGATGAAGAGGATGCTGAGGGTTGTCTATAATGTTCTTCATTGAAGAATCCTTATTTGTAAAATCATCTCCAAAGGTAGAGGAGTCCCCAGAAGTGAGTCAGCCTTCTTTGTGAGCTTGTTGATCTTTTTTACATCACTTGCTCTGGTGCTGCTGCCCCAGCAGATGATGGCAGAAGAGGTAGCGCTCTCTACAACAGACTTATAGAAGATATGCAGCATCTTGCTGCAATATGCTCGTATTTCCAGAAGTCTTGTATTGTTACTGTGAAAGTAATCCCACAACTTTGATCCGTTCTTGCAAAAATGAGACGCCTGCCTGCCCACTCACCAAGATCTTTGTTTTCATGCTCTTCACCTGAAACAGAAACACACACACCCCTCTCAGTTTAGACCTCCTCATTAATAATGGATGTTTTATTTGTTTATGTATTCATCACGATGCTCTCACCGGAGGGTTTTGCCTCATCTGACTCCATAAAAACACATCCAGCCAGCTACAGGAAGTGGCTCGTGGTGCCAGTAGAGGAATTATGTAAAAACTTGGCCTGACGTGTCCAGATTGAAAATGGGTCAAATCCTCCTGGTTAATTTAGTTGCAGAGCCCTCGGCAGCTCGGCTCATGCCATTAACAGGTTTGGTCATGGCTTCCTGAGGAGCTGAACAAAACGCCTGCATGAGGAGTTTCTTATTCTGTTCACTCTGTAGCTGCTGCTGAATGTGACGGCACCAGAACTCTGGGTTTTAAAGGATTGTTCACAGCTAAAACCGTGAAACGAGCTGTCAGGAAGCAAAAATACACGTTGGGGCTTCGACTGCTGACAGCTCTTTCTTACAGAGCCTGGAACCGTTCTGCTGGTCTGCAGAACACAGATCAGTCACGACCGATTCTGTGCAACAACTGCACACACCCGAGCCATTTCCTCAGAAACAGAACCACAGCTGTGTGTTACAGCTTCCGTGTGATGGTTTGTGACAACAAGAAACATGTAAAGGGATAGCAGAACCATGAGAACATAAACTCACCTGAGTCCCAGAGCCTCTGTTTGAAGAGAATAAATAAAACGTTCAGATGTAACTCAGAACCAGAACCAATCAGAGAGCTGAGTTTGGAAGGTTTTGATGAACTGAACTGAGAATTTAAAACATGGAAAATGTCATGATTCATTCATGATTCTGGAAAAAAATTCATAATACAGCTGCATACTGGGTACCAAATGTGGTATGAACTGGGTATGTACATTGTATTCACTGGATATGCATGGTACCTACCTTTTTACTTGGTATCTACAGGATATTTACTAGCTACACATGATACCCACAGGGTACATACTTTGTACTTGTCACTTAGCTAATTATCAGGTTGGTACCAGTTACTGGCGTTGATAGGTACATGTGTATACCCATAATATATTTACCCAGAACTTAAAAGGTTCTTATAGGGTACCATACTTGCCACCGTACACGTCGCATCAGTCCAAATATGTCTAATAAAGTGGGAAAAAACATAAATAGGTTGCTTCGGTGTGTAAGTCGCATCACGCGTCACCGATGACGCGTCACGTTTGTTACGTGTCACCGGTGACCACATGGAAGCATGGGCCGGTGTTGTGCCAAAAATCAATTGGCTGCCAAATGGCGGTCGCGGGAGCATGCGCAGAAGGACTTTAACAAGAATTTAACAAGATTAACACTTAAAAACAATTATTTGTTTGCTTGAAATTATAGCAAAGGTGTGTCTCAGTTTAACGTTTCCTTAATAAATGCACTTTAATGGTCAAATCAGCTGCATTTCCCCGGGGCTGCGTGGTAAAATGTAGCTGATTTGACGTTTGCGCCAGGAGTTCTGGAGTGAGATGAAGGTGGTTTTCTATGGCAAACCAATTGTCTCATTAATAGCCACTTTTACCTATTAATGAGACACTTGGTTTGCCATATTTGTCAAGTGCCCTCTAGCGGCTGAAAATGATAGTGTTCAATATTTTCTATGTCAGAATGAACGAAATCATCAGAGCTCAGACAAAAATTGGGTTCAAAATTAGGAGGGAAAAAACAAATAAGTCGCTTCGTTGTATAAGTTGTAGGGGATGCAAATTTATGCAAAAAGATACAACTTATACAGCAAAAAATGTGGTAATTATAAGGATACTTACCTGGTAAATTACTTGGAGCGGTGTTGACAAAACCAAATGCAACTCAACATTGCAAAACTAACGAGCTGTGGGTGGACAACAGGAAGAACTGTAAAAACCATGAACTGTTTTATGTTTGCTAAGATCATCGAGCGTGGGCTCCAGTCCTGTGCATCCAATGACAACTTTCTGAGAGTTACAATCGATCCTGCGCAGCGGTCAGGACACACTTTGCTCTCCTGTGTAGATGGTATAAAGTTAACCTGCAGTTTAACTCCTGTAAGTTCACAGAGGTCGTTCTTCTGATTGGTCCATTTGATGTGTGGGTTTTAAAGCTCAGAGGAGAGTTCAAGGATCAAACCGCTCTGATTTCATTTGACAGATTTGTCTTTGAGCTCTTCTATTCTGACAGTTTTCATGTAAAAAAAAGTTGTTTCTACAATAAAACATGTTCGTGTTTGAGCTGCTGCAGGTCTTCATGCAGCTGCTGACAGCTTTTATTCAGTTTGACAGACTCTAATCTGCACCAGAGATCCAACAACAACAAACCGCTTTGTTTTTTGTTGTTGTTTTGGGGGTTTTTTCCCTTGGATTTTTGTTGTTGTCTCTTCAGATGTTTCACGGATCAGAACGATGTTGTTAATCCCACAGAGAATCAGCTGCAGCTTGGAGGTCCTCCGAGGGGTTCCTCAGAAGGTTTCAGATCATTTTCTTGATTTGATGCAACTTCACTGTTTCCTATTTCTCTACATTCGGCTGATTCTCCTTGAAAAAACTGATTCAATCTAAAATAAAACTAAAGAATCTGCTTTTTCTAGAAAATACAGCATGACCACTGAATCACTGCTGAAGAAGATGAAACTGAGCTCTTAAAGCTAAAAGAAGCAGAACATTAGCTAAAAGCTAAAAGTAGCACAATGCTGCGAACACATTAAAAGGCTACCTAAAATGTAAAAGTTGCAAAAGACTAGTTAAAAATATAAAAAGCAAACAAGAGGGTAAAAGTAACAAAATTCTAACTAAGAGCTAAAATTGCACAAGGTTAACTAAAAGCTAAAAATATCAAAAGGCTATGGCTAGAAGCTAAAAATAGCTAAAAGCTAAAGACAGCAAAAGGCATTCCAAATGGTAGCTAAATACTAAAGGTTACAAAAAGTAGATATAAGCTAAAAAAAAAAGTGTCATACTGTTAGCTAAATTACTCAAAAGACTAGCTCAAAGCTAAAATTTGCAAAGGGTTATAAGCTAAAAGTAGCAGAAGGCTATCAATCCATCCATCCATTATTTTTACCCGTTTCTTCCATTTTTGGGTCACGGGGGTCGCCGGTGCCCATGTCCAGCAATCACTGTAAGAGGGGTGGGGTACACCCTGGACGGGTCGCAAGTCCATCACAGGGCCAGCAGAAGGCTATATAAAAGTTAAAAGTAGCAAAATGCTACCTAAAAGCTAAAATAAAAAAAAGGTTAGCTTAAACATACAAAAGCAATACTAGTCCAAAATTACAATGCAAGCTGAAGGATAAAAGAAAAAGCTCAAAATTGCAGGTTAACGTAAAGCTAAAAGTATCAAAAGACTAGCAAGAAGCTAAAAGTGGCTAATAGTATTAAAAAAGCAAAGGGCTAACTAAATGCTAAAATTACTACTAAGCTACCAAAGTAGCTAAAATAAATACTAAGAGCTACAAAAATGAAGCAAAAATCTCAATATTGAAAATTGTTAACTAAATGATTCAAAAGACTATAAACTAAAATAAAAGGAGGCTAACTAAAAGTATCAAAAAGCTAGAAGATAAATATAGCTAAAATCTAAAAGAAGCAAAAGGCAACCTAAAACCTAAAATTAGCAGAATGGCAGTTAGATACTAAAAGTAACAAAAAGATAGCTAAAATCTCAAAAAGGCAAACTGGTAGCTAAAAGACAAGAAGCTCAAAAGAAGTTAAAAAAATAGCTAAAGGGTAGTTATAATAAGCTAAAAGAAAATGATGCAACAGAAACAGTTCTGCACAGGTTCTGTCCTCCAACTTTGCAGGGTTATATACTGCTGCAGAATCACCTCTCTGATCCGCTGCAGTGGATC